ATTTCACGTTTGATTTAAAATTTTAGAGTCAATGGTCATTTTAAGATCGTGTCATCGTGCATATTTAAATTCACATCGATGTCTGCTACAACGTACAGTAGAAAATAATATATACATTCGTGCAAAGCCTTGAAGAAAACCAGAAAGAACTAGCATTTATAAGAAAATTTTTCTTCCACCTTATTTACCCCTTGAAAGCATTTAAATTAGGTATACAAATTTTCTCGTGCTACCATAGTTAGGGAAGATAATTAGGTGGCCTGTTTTCCGTGGCCCATCCTGTATATAAAAAGGAAAATGTGCACTTTCGATGCCACTAAACCTAATTTACCTATAAATAATCAGAGCTCGGTGTAAATAATAATTATTTTAAATATCACTTCTTGTAATCGATAATTTTATCTTTTAAAGTCTTTTTTCATGTATTGCTTGGATATTTGTTATGTAGTAAAATGTTATTACGCAAAAGCTGGCAAGAATGTTTTCAAAAGATGTTATCTTACTTAATTTCTACAATAATGGATTTTAAAGTGCTGTACAATAATATATTGTCCTATTTGTTTTTCCATTTAATGTAAGAATTCGTAATACAAATTATCGTTGTATTTTAAATATTGAAATACGTCCTGAATTGTTCAAAATAACGACAAATACAATGTACGTAGTAAGTTATGGAAAAATGCAGTATCTTAAAAATTGAGCTTCCAGGATTTTGAGATATTGCACTGAAAAATAAATAACACAGCTTAATTATCCCAAATTTCATTTAGATTACTACGAATAATAATTGAATTACTTTATTAAGCATCTTGTAGATATTCAATCAGGGCAGAATTATTATACAACTGATAACTGTACATGAAAATTAAATTTACCTTACAGTATGTAACTTTCATGCGTGAATCTTCATCTTCAACATTCCAACCGATTTATAACCACGATTTTCACGCTCAAAATCAACGTGGAAAGAGAAAAAAATAGAGAAACAAACGATGACTCGGTGTAAACCAGATAAATGATTTAACTAACTTTCACCGGTACCCTTCACCACTCTAGATCACTATGTAGACTCGTTTATAGACGAATCCAGGACTGGCTAATTGGTACTCGTCGTCCAGATTAAAAAATTCCCATTTAAATTCGTAAATCATAGACTTAGATTCCAGGCTCGAGCATTGGAATTAATTTGCCGCACGAGTTACCGATCTCCTTTCTATCTTATTTAACCGTGCGGCAACGCGGTCGACACGCTTGAAGGCGATTTTTGCGAGCGCGTTCTTCTTTTTTTTTTTTGTTTTTCTTTGTGACATCGATGCTGAAGAGAAGGGAATCGCTGGCAACTGAGTAGACTCTGTTCTATTGAAAACGGCGACATAACGCAGTATGAAAAAATGTCGCCTAAGTGCAACGATAAGATAGAAAAATCGATTTAGCAAATGTTGCGCCACTGTTAGCGCCAAAAGCCGATGAAATTCGGTCGATTTAGCAGTATTGAACACTGTTAGTGCCAAAAATCGACGAAAACGATGAAATTCCATCGATTTAGCAAATATTGCGCCACTGTTAGCGCCAGAAACCGACGAAGACGATGAAATTCGTTCGATTTAGCAATATTCAGCACTGTTAGTGCCGAAAACCGATGAAATTCAGTCGATTTAGCGAAATTGAACACTGTTAGTGCCAAAAACCGATGAAATTCAGTCGATTTCGCAATATTCAGCACTGTTAGTGCCGAAAACCGATGACATTCGTTCGATTTAGCAATAATTCAGCACTGTTGGTGCTAAAAACCGACGAAAACGATGAAATTCGTTCGATTTAGGGATTTATTTATGCAACACTGATAAATAGCGTGCACGTTGAAAATGCTAAACGCAACTGAAAGATTGCAAGTTCCATTGAATCGAAGAGTTTTGTCGTTTATCGTGGTATCAATATTAAACAGTGCAGCATAGACATTATAACGGGAGAAATAATGATTCTTGTAACGAGACAAAGCAGTAATAATGGCGTCGTAATAAATTGTTTGGATAAAATGTATCCTTTCGAGTTTTTCCTTAAAATCTTGAAAATTGGTAAACTTGTACACGTACTTAAAGAAATCTTAGAAAATCTTTTTTATAAATTACTATAATATGTACATATCATATAACAAAATTATTCCTCTAGAAACGAAACTTTTGTACAGCGAGAAATTGATTTGTTAAGAGATAAATTATGAGAAAAATGCAAACTTTGGGAAAGAATTTTCTCAAAAAGGAAAGTCCATATGAGAAAAATTGCATTGTATCGTTAATTTCATAAAGATTAGATTCTTTTATTTATTACCTTTCAAGCTTACTTCGTTTCCCTTAAATTTGCTACAGATGTATTAAAAAGGAACAAAAAATGGAAAAAATAAAATCCTACAAACAAACATGGTCGTATATGATATTATGAACATTATTTTGAAATGTATGTTTTGATGTGTAATAATTATACTTGTGCAAGTAATTCCAGAATATAACATTTTGCAAGATGAACTCGATACATCAATAATAAATGAAAAGTTAATTACCGAATAAAACATTATTCTCGACTCTAATGTTTGTTAACCGTTCAAAGTGTGGCGACCGCCACGGTAGGGGGCCACGTACTTAGGCCTGGCGACTCTTGGCCCTCGAGGCGAAGAATCGAGAGATGTTTTTCCAAACATCTCCGAGTTTCTTCGTCCTCGAGGATAAGAGTATTACCTCGGCAATGCAGGCCCGCGCCCCCACTTCCTGGGACTTTCCCAGGGAAAAGGGGCTACTTAAGGGAGCCCCGAAAAAGGCACCAGGCCCAGAATCTTGGGCACTGGGCCCCCCCACTATGACCTACCGCCGTCTCCCACTATACCGTCCTGGTCCAGGCCTTTTGTGGTAGAGCTTCTCTGCACGCGCATCATGTAGTTTACATTTGAAATTAGTTTAAGCATTACGTTTAAATAAATATATTTTTGTTACCCGCTTTACCGAATAATCATTTGCACCACGTCACTTCCGAAGAAGTAATAAACAAACTATTTGTAGAAGAATTTGAAAATGAAGAAATATTTCTTTTCGTCGTTAGTTGTAAAAGTTACATTGTCTCCTGAATTTGCATATAGAAACGTCGATTTCAATTTAATTCATTTCCTTTTTTCACAAAGTCTCGATGACTTTGTCGACACTAAGCGGCCATGTTTGTTTCAGAGTGGGAATTCGTTAGTTACTCGATAAATTAAGAAAAAGTCATAAAGGAAGATATTGTGAAATATTAGGTGTAGAAATGAATTCAGTGCCTTTCCTCGCGAACTTCAATATTTATTTACTAAAGATCGAACACAATTTTAATCTTTTTCCATTTATCCAGTAACTGACGAATTCCGTGTCTGAAAAATTATGGCGGTTCTGAGTCGATAGGGTCGTCAAGGATTTGTGAAAAAAGGCACCGAATTAATTTCTACACCCAATAATATCCATTATTTTCAATATTAAAATTGTGTTTGATTTTTTCTAAATAAACATTGATGTTTGTTAAAGAAAAGCACCGAATTAATTTCCACGTCTAATAAATTCAAAGATCTCTTTGCACAGAATATTCTCCTAAACGTGAACGATAAATTTGTAACAATTTTCAAGCGTAAGATGACAATTCACATTTATTATTTCACAATGCGCCGATGTTCTCTGTGGCACACATAACGCGCTGTTTCAGGCCACGTTATTCCATGCAACAGGTGAGAATTTCCATTATCAGTTGAAAGTTATAATTCATTTATTTCCAATGCTTGATTTTTTTTAAATTTTTTGCTATTTAAATCGTAATTCTGTTTAAATAATATGTTGGATGTATGATCAAATGTTTTGTGTCGAATTAACCGGAAGAATCTCAATTGTATCTACTATCGGTTTCCTTTCACTTCGTTTCCCTTTAAATAACTTTCAGAAAACCAATTTGCGTGTCTTTTCAATAATTTCTAATAATATTGTACAGAACATAATAATAATATTATAATATTGCAATAATAATATAATATACATTATGCTATAATATAATATCACCGTAATATTATAATAGTAATGTAGTAATTTATTGTTTAATGGCAGTAACTTGGAACTTTCACTCTCTTCTCATTTCCATAGTAAATACAAAACTGAATTTTAATTGTAAATAATACGATGTATGTACGTATAATGTGCAATTGTGTGCAGTGTAAACAGCTTTTAAAGTATTCGATACGCTTAACATAATATTCAATCGTTATGTTTGCACTTTAGCCAATGAAATATGTAATAACAGATTAATTCGTCGAAGTATGAGACAATTGTTTATTCGTGAAATTTATCCTTGCACATTTTACATAGTTTGGCATTTGTGTGAAGCGTGCATCGGAAGAAGTCTCTTCGACGCTTTCTCCGGGATATATTAGAAAGCATAGGCTACAAGACCGTAGCTGAAAAACCACAAATACGGTTAAATACCACAGACTGGCTAGCAAAATAGCTTTCAAAACTTTGGACGACCATCGTATCATCTTGCCGCGAGCAAAAAACCCAAGTATTTCCAGTCTACTTCGTACTTTTAATAGAAAATAGCGATTCAATTAAACAATCACAAATAACGCTCGATAAAAATACTTCGCGTTCCAATGTTTTCACATATTCTCCGTGTAAATCATAAAATAAACTTTAATTTCGTTTCTCTCGCCGGATTACTTTGCAATAAATAAAATTATCATCGATGACGATATCGTTTTAACAGAAAGAAACGATACTCTTGAAAGTCATCGGTCTCTGACGCGAATATTTCTCGCAGAGTATTACCTGTCGTTTTAAGAAATTTTCCCTCAAAAAAAAATTAAAGCAAAATTTCACATATTTTCAAATAAGAATCACCGACTAAATAATAATAATAACCTCCAATACAATACTCATGCAAACGAACAACATCGTACGAAAAAAAAACGTGCAATATATGTAACCATAAAAATGTCTTACCGACTCTGTTCCACAGGCACAGCGCCGCAATAACGATGGTCAATCTGACAAACATCGCGCTACATTGGTCTACGATACGTGAAATGTCAACGGAACCGCATTCGACTCGCCGATACGTGGTTCGATATGCTCGAATCGAGCCACGCTAAACCAAACCACTTGAACAGTCAGTTCTGTCGATGACATCTATTGAACGGTTCTGCACGGCAAATCGTATCTTATGCAAACACGCATCTGTCATTCGTGTGAATGCATCTGTTATTCTTTTTGCGGCGATTTTTCACGTTCCTCATGCCCGATGCCAGTCACTCGCTAGATACAACGAGAAATAGTTGCAAATAGAACGCATTCCTCAAAACTCTGATGGTAAACGTCTTCTTTTATCATACGATTTCCATATATCGATTTTACACACACACCTACTCTCGACGAACTTCTTCACCTTATACGGTACACACGACGCACGAATGTATCAAATAAATCTCAACGATGAAATTAGCGAAACATTGCACAATTCGGAAACACCAGTTCGAAAGTTAGAATCGACTCGACGTATGTGTGTGTGTATCTGTTTACCGGTCGGAGCACGCAAAGTACCCGTCGACTTTCTCTCAAGTCGGATAATTAACCGGCACAGGTTTTTAGAGCGACCACGGTCTGCAGCGGAACACCAATTACGAATGCACCGAACGCGGCTGGTGAACCGTCACTGACGTGAATTTCGAAAAACGCTTGGAATCTCTCGGCCCCGATCGGCGCCCTGCTCAGCTTCGACATCGCCTTTAAGATCATCACGATCCTTGTTTGCATCAGCGTAGCGAACACGGTGCTCCTGTCAGTCGATTTTGTCGAACACTTTTCACCAACTTGTACGATTAAAAAAAAAAAGAACAAAAACTACTGACAGTTCGATGTTAAATCACTCGAGCAAACTGAAAGTATGTGTACCGATTTCGAGCATCGTCGAATGAAAGCTGGTCGTATTTGGAGCCTCTCGACTCCGCAACGACGCTGCTCGCGGACCAAGCACCGACCTTACGTGCGTCGCGACGCGATCTGTTCGCGAGTGCCGCGGCAGCCATGCCGATCAAACTGAAAGAACGTGTGCCATTGGCGTAATGTCTGTAGAATTGAGCGGTGAGTGTACCTTCACTTCGATCGACTTTACCGACTACTTTGTTAAGAATTTATTTTAATTTATTATATGTTTCTTTTTTCTTCCGTGATCGTTTTTTTATTCTTGTATTTAAGTAATTTTTAATTAAAAAATGGATATTATGGAACTTAACGAAGTACAGTGGAATTCAGATGTCGGTTTCTTAAGTTGAGATATAAGTCGAAGATTTATAATCGATCACGCTGGTAAAGCAACTCATTGGTTCATTTAAAACGGTATTGACCCTTTTGAAAGTTTTTCAAGTTAGAAGTTAGACTACGCCATTGACACGCTGTCAGTTCTATAGAATGTGAGAAAACCCCATTGGTTAACTTGCCTTCGGATTCTAAGAAATATACATGCTGTATGTATACAGTAGCTACTGTAAAAATTGGAAATGATTTAAAGTGAATAAGTGAATGGAATAATTAATTTGTTTGAGAACAAATGCCTTTAGATTTATAATGTAAAGTTTGTTTCCGAAGAATAACTATGGAATTTATCAATAATGATTTTGTTACGCTTGTGTGTTTGTAAATTTGTATATTTTCTTATATTTAATGAAACATGCCCATATTACAAAAAACGTATTACAATGTTATTGCTAGTTAAATTTGTAATAAAGAATGTAATTACACTATCCTGGTATAAACTATTAAATAAAAAATAATATTTATGTGGTGAAAAAGAAAAAGTAATTAATTACATTTAATCATTGCCAAATAAATCAAGTGCGTTTTCTTTCCTTTTTTTTTAATAATAACGCATACCTAAAAAAGTTATTGCTAACTGTTTTGTATTTATTTATAAACTTCTATTGCTATTTAAATATGTATATTTACACAGATGATGTATAAAATAGACCTGTCATCCAATGTAAATTTGAGTTATTCGGTCAGAGGATAACAGCCTGCATTACCATTCTCGTATCACATGTATCACATGCGACGTTATCGATTCGAAATGGAATAATATTAGAGCGCTATTAAGACGATAGGAATTGCAATTAAATAATGCAATAATCGATTATTAAAAATTGGGATCTATCTATAGCCACAGACGAGGTACAGGATAGACCTAACACCTAATGCATTTTTGTGTCCACCTCAGGAAGGCTGACAGTGCCCTTACCATTTTCGTGTCACTTCCAACGTTACCGACGCAGCATAGAACAAGATTACAACATTAGTAGCGGTTAGAATTAGAACTAAACGTAACTATGAAATTACAAATAAAGTATAGGACAGGATATCACATACTCGTACACAAAGTGTAGAATTTTTATATTTCTAAATGTATAATATGTATGTAAAATAAGTTCGGTTTAAATGTATACACGTGATTATTTCCCTAAATATTAAAAATACAGAGATTGCTCGGTCGGAGTTCTCGAGCGTTCGTAAAAAATTACTTCGATCTATCTGTCACCTCAACATTACTGTTATCCGCTAAGAGTTCCAACTTCCTACGGTCGTGTTTATTATACTTGGAAAAGCAAATTAAAGTACTTCTTAAGTTAAAACTGCACATATCAAAAGAAAATGCATAGTTGATTCTTAAACTAAGTTAAAATTAATGCTTTTACCGTACCTGTAATTCGGTCTGCATTTTGGCAATGAGTTAGACAAGGAAAGGAATATGATTAGACAAAGATAGAGAATTTTTCAGATCTAACCAACACCATCTCGTGTTTGGCTGCGCGAACTAACGACTCGTTACTAGGAACACAGAATATAAACAGAGGTATTAGACAAGGAAAGCACTAGTGTGCAAGAAGGATAGAGAGAAAACGTTTCCTATTGGTCTGCGGGCCGCCATGTTCCATCTCCCACACGCTGTATCAAATCGGTTAGGGAAAAATCATTAATAACTCAATAATTACAATGATTTTGTGAACTTTTAGAATTGAAGAACGAAGTATGGACCTTCAGCAACTTTCACATATAGATTTTATTGTATTAAATTCCTTCAGTAATGAGTTATTAACAATTATTGTGCGGAGTATCGGCAGCGATACTGCACACCCTTCTGGTTTTTCATTAATTTTGCAGATTTGTACAAATATTTTATGCACTCTCATAGAAGCGTTCGAAAAGCTATTCCTTTAGCTAGTTTCTCGTTATATTTTCATTAACATATTCGTCGTAATTTGCAAGATATTAAACATTATTTGGGAAAGTATTGTACTCGTCGTATTTAAGCGTAACACATTTTCGCAATTTCATTAATAACTCAATAATTACGATGATTTTATGAACTTTTAGAATTGAAGAACGAAGTATGGACCTTCAGCAACTTTCACATATAGATTTTATTGTACTAAATTCCTTCAGTAATGAGTTATTAAGAATTATTGTGCGGAGTGTCGGCAGCGATACCGCACACCCTTCTGGTTTTTCATTAAGTTTGCAGATTTGTACAAATATTCTATGCACTTTCATAGATGCTATTGAAAGGCTATTCCTTTAGCTAATTTCTCGTTATATTTTCATTAACATATTCGTCGTAATTTGTGAGATATTAAACATTATTTGGTCAAGTATTATACTCGTCACTTTCAAGCGTAAAGGATTTCCGTTATTTTTTCGAATATGCATGATTTATTTTGTACGTTCAAGCACGTAGAGTATAGACATTTGTCTACATATATTCTATAATAATTTTTAAGTGCACACATGATGTGTTTTACTAGACATTAATAATTGTTTATAAGAGTTGACTATACTCAAGTACAATAAATAGAAGACTCTCCTATATAATATCTAATAACTTTTAAACTACGAGGGATATGTTAATAAAAATTATATGAGAATATAACTAGGGGAGTTGACTTCCAGATGCACGTAGTTAGTTGCATGGGAATTCAGTAGAAAACTATGAAATTATTGAAAAATCGCAAACGTATATTAATAAAAACAGCGTCGTTCCCGACATCCTGTACTAAAATTATTAATAACTAATTATTGAAAGAGTCTATTGCATTACAAAACTATATGTGAAAGTAGCTAAAGGTCCACATTACATTCTTCAATCCTAAAAGCTCACAAAATCATTGTAATTAATGAGTGATTAATGATTTTTCCCTATCCGATTTGATACAACGTGTGGGAGATGTAACATGGCGGCCCGCGGACCAATAGGAAACGTTTTCTCTCTATCCTTCTTGCACACTAGTGCTTTCCTTGTCTAATATCTTTGTTTATATTCTGTTTTCCTATTAAGAAATCGTATTTCCCGTCACTAAACACGAGATGGCATTAGTTTCGAGTTGAAAATTTTCTGTCCTTGTCTAACCATATACCTTTTCCTTGTCTATGTAGAGGGGTTATTTATACGAGTGGAGAAATATGTTGAGAATGTATAATGACGTTTTGTGTGCGCTGAGCCTTTGTTCCCGTGTGAGTTGAGGTTGCAAATTGATCGAGGTGTGAGACACGGTTGCAGTAGCAGGAAAAGAACTTTTATATTGTTGAACGGTGATTTTTAAGTAGCAAGATGTTCATCTTTAAAACTTGAATGCACACATTGTTGCAGTCTCTATTCTCGAATGCAACATCGATGGAAGCACTATTTCGAATGCAAAACATTGTTGTACGCGTTACTTTTGAATGCAACATTGCTTGAAGCGTTGTAATTGAACGCAAACATTGTTCGAAACTCTATTTCTGAGTGCAACATTATTACAAGCGTTATTTCGAACGCAAACATTATTACAAGCACTACGCTTGAATGTAACATTGTTACAAGCGTCATTCTTACTTGTAACATCGTTAACTCCTATTATTTTCGAATGCACATTATTGCAAACGGGTTATCGGTTTTGAACATTTGTTGCCGAAAGTCGCTCCCAAAAATTGCACATTGTTGCAAACGCGTAATCGGGTTTGCAACATTGTTGTCGCGAAAATTGCACATTGTTGCACGACGCCCCGTTCTGCAACTTTGTGCATT